AACGCCTTCCGATGTAGGATAGGCAACGCCCACAACACGGGTGTACGGCAGACCTGCCTAGCCCGCTGGACATTCTTGGGGATGAGACCCGCATTCCTCTGCAAGGCGATACGAGCACAGCCTTTGCCTTTCCAGTGTACTTCAGAGCTGGGACAGCGACGTGCTCTATCTTCGAAGTCAGCCTGTGCGCAGCACCGTGCGTAAGCAGCGGAGAAGGGAATGGGAAGTACTGCTGGCGAGCGTCGTCGCTCAACAAGCAAACGGAGATTGCAGAGATCCGCAGTGTCGTTCGCGTACGTGTGTGGGTGTTGTACTGTGTACCACGACGAGCGGGATGCCATCGAGCGTGAGATACCCACTTGGGGGTTCGCCGTGCTGATCATTGATCATGCTTCATAGAAAATAATTCGTACCTAAAATCTAGCAGTTGCATTCCTCCACGTGCATTCCCGTACGCTTCCGGTCTGGTCATATTGTGGTTGGTTCGCAATATGCGCGATAACTTAACTACGCGCGTGGTGTGGTTGCGGTTGGGATGTGGATCTGATTTCAGGCAACGCGGTGAAAACCCAGGGACAGTCGAAGGACACCTCAGGGACTTCAGACATCATAAGTATCACAGAATTTCGTGAGGATTACCACAAGGATGTAAGGACAGCAGAGGGACTACAAAATCCGGAGGGACTGACGGGGATCGGCGAAGGACAATCCCTCTGTGTCCCCCTGTCCATCAGGGGTGGTACCTACTAGGTCCCGCGCATGGCCTGTTCTCGACATTACATCATTAAAATGACGTCACTCGTGCAAAAATGATGACTTTACAAGCCACAACTTTGATGTACGTAGCAACAGAGCTCGCGCCTGCCCCACCCAGAAATGCTATGTCTCATAGACGTCCAACGGGACCATTTAGACGTCTATTGTCTACTGGTCCCCTTAGACGTCTTAATGGTCACCTTAGACCTGGCAGTTGTAGGTGGGTGGGTGGGCGGTCATCTGCGCCGGGGCTCCGTTACGTACAACGTAACGACGATATTAAATTTTTGTGGACTTCCCCGTTCTTATTCGGGAGGGCGCAGAACGCCGCTAGAAAGCCCTTGCCTAACTTTTGCCCTCACAATAACTTGGCGACGGAAAATTCGAAGTTACGTTGGAATATTAAGAAGTTATTTCAGTGTCAGTAGACGCCCATGACTGGTGGTTGGGGGGGGGGGGGCGAGGGGGTCCTAACTGGGGGACTCTAGCTGGGGCGAGGAGGAAGCCGGCCAATCAGTCTAAACGCCGTGAGCTTGACTCGAGCTGTAGCGTGCAAGCTGCCGTGCTCGTTTGCACACATGTGCTGCCAGTGTGACTCGAGCAGTGCGCCAAGGCGGCTGTGGCGGCAGATACCATCAACGCTGCGCTATCGGTCGTGTCCTAGCCCCTCCCCCTCGCGGCAATTCATGTGCTGTATCCAAGTCACCTCAGATGATACGCACTATCATATTCGATACAAGCAGATTAGTCTGCGGCAGCAGTTCCTGGTACAGGTCCGCGAGGCCTAAAGCAGAGCGCGTCCTCGCCGTCACAACAGCCTGACAGAGACGCGAGTTGTTGCCATGGCCCTCCTCTGGGTTTTGGTGGGGCTGGTGCTCGTATCAGTGCTGCTCCTAAACCAGCGCCGCTACCGACTTGCTGCCAAGCTTCCCGGT